GATCGCCGTAGGTTTTATAGTGTTGCTGAAATTTATGATACTCAGCTAAAACCTTTTTCTGCTAAGGAGGCAAGGAAAATCGTTGCCAATACAGAAGACGAAGTTAACCGAAAACGAAGGAAAGATGTGGATGACCAAGGTGAGGATTATTGAAGGGGGATAAACCTGCTTCAAATCGAGCATGTTCCGTATCTTATTCTTAGGTTTCACATATACCTGGTCGACAGAGCAGAAAGTACGACCTGGACTAAATGTGTTCGACGAGAAAGGAAACGAATTGGAGTGGGACTATGAGCATGATACAAGGTAAAATCTCTCATTAAACAGCTAGTGCTTAGCAAACATTCAATTTCAATACTAAAAATCAATTCTTTTCTTGCATTTGCCCACTATAGTTTCTGCAATGTTCCAGTTTGAAGTCGCCATGTATCCTTAAGTATTTATTGTTTATGTGGTTAAGAATCTAAATCGAAAATTATTCATTCCGAAATGCATTGCTTTAAGGCATCATCATTTCTTTCGTTCTACATTAGCTTTCTTTCGATCTAAAATTATTAGAACTTTCAAAATAGAAATCGAGTAGAACATTTATCACTGCGTACATTTATTGCATAGATTTGTCGAACTACCATAAGTTGTAATTAATTAAGCTCACTCGCCATCTTAGAATCAGTTTAACCTTCATCTTCTAGATTCTATGACGATCCCAATGCTAGTCTGGAGAAAGACGACAGCAAATCTACTGAAACTGATTCTGCAGCGCCCCAAGCTAAAATTGTTAGGGTATGTCTTAGCTTTGTAGCTTTTTCTCTGTGAAGTTCGCTTTGATGCTCTCTACCTTTGTTTCTAGTACTAGTTCACCCTCTGGGTTTCCAAGTGCCATGCTTACAGTGAATAACGCACTGCTTTCAGGGACGCGGAGCAAAAAAGGGCTCACAGTTGTACAATGGGTTAGGGCACACATTGGCATCAGATGACCTAGACACTTCTGTTCCGTGGGTTTTTTTTGAAACTATTATGGGTGAATTTGTTTACTTCGCGCAAATGGAAGAACGGTAATTGGCGTCCAAATAAAGTCATGCATCAAATAACACGATTCTTCGATGGGTCGAATACTCATTCGATAGCTCATCAAGCAAGGAAAGACAACGATAGATGATTCTAATGCCGCCCCATCAATCAAGCTTGAAATTACTCACTGAATCTAGAGATTTCAAATCTTAAAATGTGATACTGTTTGGTCTATCTCTATCACTAAAG